CAAGAATTGAAAGCACGAATTTCCGGGAGAGGCCTGTGAAGCCGCATTAAAAGAAATAAATTCTTACCTGTTCCTTTGAGTCACTAAGAGCTGTGATTATATGCCCTGAACCTTTTCATTTAGAGGCGCCTTGTTTTATATTATAAATCCTTAATTAAAGGTAATTTATTATGATTTCAATGGTTGTCTTATTCTGTGTCTGTAGTACTTTTAGTAATAAGTCAATTATAAATACAACTATAATTACAGGTAGTCCTTGACTTACAAACATAATTGGGACCAGAACTTCCATTGATAGGCAAGGAGCTCGTTAAGTGAATCATGCCTGATTTTACGGCCTTTTTTTTGCCACGATGATTAAGAGAATCATGAGGTTGTTAAGTGAATCTGGCTTCCCTCATTCCTTTTCCTTGTGGGAAGTTGCCTGAGTGGGTCGCAAATGGTGATCACATGATCCCAAGACAGTGCAACCATCGTAAGTACATGCCAGGTTGCCAAGTGCCTGAATTTTGATCATGTGACCACAGAGACACTATGATGGTCATGTGAAGACCAGTTATAAGTCACTATTTCCAGTGCTGTCGTAACTTTGAACTGTCATGAAACAAATGGTTGTAACTTAAGCACCGCCTGTATTTACTTCCACTAGGCCAGGGGTAGGCAACCTTGGCTTTTATGACTCATGGACTTCAACTCCCAGAATTCCTAAGCCAGCTTGGCTCAGCTTGGAAACTCTCCCTTTCCCCTCAGCATGGCTGGCTCAGGAATTCTGGGAGTTGAAGTCCACGAGTCATAAAGTGGCCTAGGCCTAGTCCAGGGGTAGGCAACCTTGGCTCTTTTATGGCTTGTGGACTTCAACTCCCAGAATTCCTGAGCCAGCATGGGGGAACTATGGCCCCCTCATGACTCGTGGACTTCAACTCCCAGAATTCCTGAGCCAGCATGGCTCAGCTTGGAAACTCTCCCTTTCCCTTCAGCATGGCTGGCTCAGGAATTCTGGGAGTTGAAGTCCACGAGTCATAAAAGAGCCAAGGTTGCCTACTCCTGCCCTAGACCCATTCTCCAAATCACAGCATCCAAAGCCATCTTCTTCCAGGTGAAGCTTTTTTTCCCCTCTAGCTCAGTGTTGTGGGTGCTGATTTGCAACTTTTTCCACATAAAAAAAGACATTTCCCATTCCACCTAGGGCTCTTCAGAAGCACTGGACTACAACTGCCATCATCCCCTAGCCAGCCTAGCTGAAGAATCCGATTGATTCAACTGGAAATGCCAGAGGCAGAACCTCAAAATTACTGTATGCAAAGCAACGACATCCCAGCTTAAGTTTTTCAAAATCCCAGTTTTATTGTACAGTCGCTCAAATTTACTGAGGTAATTTCCTGTGCTCCAAGCAGAACTGTGTCTTACATGCACACACACACACACACAAATTCATCAAGGAGAAAAAACTAGCACAAAAGGACCCCCATCTTTTGTGGCAGCACCTAAAGGACTTCCTACAGGTCAGAACATCCTGGATCTTGTATAAGCCACTCAAGTTTTTCCATCCTTTCTTACTCATTCTCACTCCCTTGCCCAACATAAGGACCAAAACTGGTGTTTCTCAGCATCCCCAACGGAAGGGATAGCAAATTATGATTAAAAAAACCCAACAAAATAACCCGGAGGGCAATTTCACAAACAGAAACCTTGATCCCCAAAGAACAAAGGCAGATACAGGCCGTCCTCATTTAGCAACTGCCTCAGACAGCGACTGTTCGCCGTTGCAACAATGCAAAAGTAACTTTGTGCCCCATCCTCACGTTTACAACTTTTGCAGGTCCATAAAGCAAAGAAAAGCTGAAGTAAGATCATAAAAACAGTGGTGGTTAGCGACTGCTTCATTTTATGACTTAAGTTGCCGGTCAGACGTGGTTGCTCAACAAGAATTTTTTTTTTTAAAGCAACTGATTTCTATAGATTGTCCTCAAAGCATGGGGAATTCTGGGAGTTAATAGTCCACATATCTTTAAGTTGCCAGAACACTTCAACTTTAAGGTCTTAAAAATCCCTAATTTCAAGAGGAAGACACCCCTTTTTAACCCCCCCCCCCAAATTCTCTTCCACATACTCGTGGTGCAGATAAACCCTCTGATCTAAGCAGGGGGCTCCAAACCTGGCAATTTTTTAAGACTTATGGATTTCAATTCCCAGAATTCCTCAGGCAGCCATGCTATCTGAGGAATTCTGGGAGTTGAAGTCCAGAAGTCTTAAAGTTGCCGAGTTTGGAGACGCCTGATCTAAAGTCTCATGGGGGGATTACGGGGCCATGTCACACCATCCTCAACCTTTGTCTGTGCTTTTATGGCCACCACAAAACAAATGAACTGCACACTTGAAATATGACTGGCTATAGCACAGGAAGCCAGTGAAAGGGATTCTGTGCACTGTTGCACACTTACGTTCCAGATGATCCCTCTTCTATGACAGGCCCCTTAGAAGGAGCCATCAATCTTGTTCCTCTCTGAAAATAATCCAAGTTGAGCATGGGAAATAAGTTCATCGCAGTAAAATCATCTGTAAGATTTATTGTGTGCCGCCGTAAATTATGTAAGGTTTCCAAGAATTAATCCCCATAGACCATGCCTCTCTCTGCATGGAATGTGCCACTTCCAACTTCAGGACAGAACTTAGCAAAGTATTGATGTTCTACAACGAGAGTGGTAAATTATAGAAATGCATAGGAAATTGTGATTTTTGACAAGGATCTGCTCCTGGGGAAGGTGCCCTTAGATTTATCAGCAACAGGATTGATCTCTTCAAGTTCTCTTTTATTTTGGGTGCTTTTTAATCCAAGCCAGCAAAAAACACCCTTGAGATCTCACTTGCTCTGGTTTGTATAAATACGATTAATGCGAGAGACAAAGTAGGCAAAATGAATGTACACACTTCACCAGTTGTGCATTGTACATACAAGGAGTTCTTGACCTTTGACCCAAACTGGGACCAGAACTTCCGTCACTAAGCAATATGGTCATTAAGTGAGACACACCCAATTTTACAAACTTTTTTGCCACAGCGAATCACCACAGTTGTTACATGAATCATATAGTCATAAGGCAAATCCAGCTTCTCTCATTACTTGTCAGGGAAGGTCTCGTAAGGTAACCTCATGAACATGGACACTGCAAGTGTAGTAAAAAGGTAGAGGTTTCCTAAACTGTTACTGTCTGAGGCAGTCACTAAACAAGACTACCTGTACAATGTATATAATTCATGTATAGTTCATCTGTCAATAAATAACGCTTGGCCTTCGGGAAATGCGTCAAAACTGTAGGAAGAAGCTTTAACATATTACCTATTTATTTTTTTTCCAGAGTTTATTGCTGTCCCCTACTGCTGTTTTAATGAGGTACCACGACAAGGTTATTTATCTGTTTATTTTATTTATTAAATTTATATGCTGTATTTCACTGTTGGTGTTTATTATACATAAGAAATACCTCTAAAAATGCCTATTCAGTTGTGTCTGCCTCTAGGAGGCGCTGCTCATCTCCATTTCCTAGCCAAGGGAGCCAATGTCATTGGACAATACTGTCCAAGGCGCACCGCACCAAAGTGGTACCTATTTATCTACTTGCATTTACATGCTTTCGAACTGAGGTAGGAGCTGAGGCAAGTAACGGCCTCTCACAAAGCACTTGGGTCTCAAACTGCCAACCTTCCAGTGAATAAGTGTCTTAACCACTAGGCCACCACACCCCTCAAGTCTAGTAAATACAATGCTGAGTGGCAACCAACAAATGTTGACTGTGTGACTGCAGGAATGCTGTGATGGTTGTTAAGTGCAAGAACTGGTTAATAAGTCACTTTTTTTTTTAGTGCCACTGTAATTTTCCACAATCATTAAACGAAAAGTTGTTAAATCGGGGATTACCTGTACATTAAAAATGCAGGCAGTCCCAGAGGAGTCGATTCTGAATTCATTACCAAACCAGAGCTGTGTTGACATTTTAATTTGGAAATCAGAAACGGATAGTGCACAGAAAACAATTTTAGAATTGTTTAATGATTCAGACATTAAATGCCGAACTGAGGACTTTGAGAGAGAAATAATCATCCCGTTTTGAAGAGAAACCTCCCAAAAGATTCAGGACATGCCAGCAAACTTTGGATGAAGACCCCTAATATATGTTTGCTACCCGTTTTCCACTGCAACAAAGATCAAGCTTCTTCTATCAAAAGTAATAGCATCAGTGGACTGATACTTGTTGACAAATGATATCTTATCCCAAAGACAAGCTTTTTGATGTGGAAGGGACCATCTGGAAGTTGATGAATCACACAGACTTAGCTCAGAAGCAGAGATTGGGGTGTTTTCATGCAGATCCAAAGAAAAAGCCCGGAAATGGCATTATAGCAAGAATGCATAACCCGGATCCGTGAACACGAGTCAGTTACATCTTAAGTTCAGAAGACTTTTCAGCATGAGGCAGCTTCTATCAGGCAAAAACTGCGAGCTTCGGGGGGGGGGGAGTGTAAAGAGGCAGCAAATTGCTGGTTTTATTATGAACTTTGCGTTCTCCAACAAGGAGGAAAGGGACACCAAACACCCTGAAGTTCTCTGCAGGTGGACTGAGGAGCAGCTACTCCAGCCCCGGTTACAATGGAATTGGGCCAACTCTTGTGCAGCCCAGGGAGACCTGAATTTACGTTCTTCCGTTTGTGTGAAAGCAAGCCGGCGGAAGGTTGGAGTCAGCCCAACCTTGCTACCGGTCCCCACCCCACGTGCAGCCCAGGGTTCACCTGGGCACGCGAGGTCCCCTCGTCCCCAGCATCTGCGGAGCACCTGGATGGAGAAGCCCGCCAGGTGCAGAACTTAAGCAGTGCTGGAGCAAACCGGACCCTCAAACCGAGGGACCCCTTAGGTTTCTCCCAGCCTTCCCCCGGCACTTTCTCGCGGGGGAATCATCCCTGAAGTCGAAAGCAGAGGATGATGGTGGCGGTGGTGGTCAACTCACCTTCAGCCTCACGGGGCAGGACGGCGAAGAGAGCCAAGGCGAAAAGAAGCCGCAGCGGCGCTGCCGGGCAATCCATAGCAAAGAAAAGGTGGCTTGATCAAACACGAGAAGCCCGCGGGGTTTTTCCTCGGCTGCAAACTCGCGGCGGGGTTTTTCCTGGGCACCATCAGAAAGCAAAGACGACCCGCTCCCCCGGCTTTCTTTTCCGGCTCCGGGCAAGGGAGATCGGCGGTGGCGGCGGCAAAGAGAAGCGAAGGGAAAAAGGAAGGAGGCCCGGGAGCAGATCTCCCGGAGGGATCGGGCAGAGAAGGTGGGCTGGTGCTGCCGCTGCGGACGGAGAGGCAAGTCCGGGCTGAGCAGCGAAGAGCGGGCGCCAAGCAGCGGCCGGTCTGCCTTCTTTGCGCCAAGCGCGGCGGCTTCTCCAAGCGGGCGCCCGCTGCAAGTTATCCTCCGCCCTGCTAAGTTCCCCCAGGCGGAGCGACCACCACCCCCTACACACACACTCACACACGCTCCGCTCGCGATCCCGCAAGCCCGCCCCCGACGGCTTTGAAGAGATCCCCTCCCCTCCCGGAGCCCGCGTTGGCGTCGCCCGCCGGCCACCCACCGAGGCGCCTCACCGAGGCTGCGGCGGATCTGCCCACCGCCGGCGCGCCCCGGGCGAGGCTGCCTTCCCTCCGGGCGCCCGCGCTCGGGCACCGCTCCAGAGGCAGAAAGGTGGGGTGTGGAGGTGAATCGACGCCGCCGACCCCCCCCCCACTTCCCAAGCCAAGCCCCGGCTCGGCTGCGCTGCTGCTCGGCGGGGAAAACTTTACTGCGGGTTCAGATCCATCCCGGCAGCGTGTAAAAAGACGCCCCCACCCACTCCTCCCAGTTCAAGACCCGATCCGGGCAGGGGACCCGCTCCCCCCCCCCCAAAAAAAGGCGAGAGACTCCGGTGGGTGCAAAAAAAAGCATTTGGGCGAGCTTTATTTCTCCCACGCACTGCCAAGCCAGCCTTTCCCGCCTCTCCGGGCTTTGCAACGCGCGGGCTGTTGTGTGTGTGTGTGTGCGCGTTGCGCGCTCCCCTCCCCGCCCCTCTTTAGCACAAGCCAGCCGTGCACATGGAACCCCCCCCCCCCGTTCGCTCTCTGCAAGCCTGTCCTGGAAAAGGCGAGTTTTGCAACCGTGGCGGGTTGCAGGTTGTGATTTGCACGGAGGGAAATTCTCGCGCCGAAAAGCAACCGGCGAGGGATTTGCAAAGGGCGCCTTTTAAAAATCCCCCCCCCTCCTTAAAAGCCCAAACGATTGCTCCTCTTTTCTTCTCTCTCCCAACCCGGGCAGACTCCGTGTGAAAGCGGCGGACCCAGGAAGGGAGAGGGCGGGGTGGGGAAAGGAGGGGAAGGGGTCGCGATCGGGCTGGGCTGGCAAAGATTCCAGAGTGTCACGTGAGAAAGAGCGCGAGCGGGCGTGCAACCTGATCCTGTTGTCTGACGCTGCTGCAGAAGTTGATCGGGGGGGGGGACGTTGGCCCCGGAGAGAAGGAGGGGGGGAAGAAGGGGTGCCCTAGCGTGGGCTCTTGGTTCACACGCCCACCCTGCAGCACCCAGCAAACTGCTGCTGCCCCTCTAATTAAAACTAGCTTAGTAGGATCTTCCCACTCCACTTCCCCCAAACTCTGAAAGATCGTCCGGAAAAAAAAAACCTGCGTGTTTTAATCACGCACAGATATACACGTACGCACAGGCCTTTGCGGGTGCCCAGCTGCAGAAGTTTTTTCCATCGTGCTCCCCAAATTCCCGGCTGAGACAATCTTGCCTGTAAACACCCAACAATTAACAGAATAAGAGTTGGAAGGGACCTTGGAGGTCTTCTAGTCCAGCCCCCTGCTCAAGCAGGAAACCTCATATACCATTTCGGACAAATGGCTGGCTGAATTATTAAATTAAAGGGAAAGAGCCACAGGTCAAACCTTACAGGGGCATCCCCATCAGCTGGCTTATATGTTGTTTAGTGACCTGCTTCATTTAGTGACCTTTTGGTGGCAGTAACTTTGTGACCAATTTTTATCTTGACAAGCTTCAGCGATGGAGGTGGTGGTAGTTATATGTGCTATCACTCTGGTTACTTCAGAATCCCTGGTGTAGAAAAATAGAATAGCAATGAAAAAGAATTCTGCGTAGGAAGAGGGGCTAGTCAATTTTTAATTTTATTGATTGGCATGCCACCTTTATTAATTTTATAAATCAAGGTGGTGAACAATACCAACACATCTTCCTCCTATTTTCCCCACAACAGCAACCCTGAAGGTGAGGTGGGCTTGAGAGACAGCGACTGTGGCCCAAAGTCACTCAGTTGGCTTTCCTGCCTAAAGCAGAACTAAAACTCACCACCATCTCCTGGCAATTGAACCAAAGTTAACCAGGTGACTTTCAAGGCTAAGGCAGGAATTGAACTCGCAGTCTTCCACTTTCTAGCCTAGTGCCTTAACCACTAGACCAGACTGGCTCCATTTAATATGTCCCTAGTTCAGGGGTAGGCAACCTTGGCTCTTTTATGATTCATGGACTTCAACTCCCAGAATTCCTGAGCTGGCCACACTGAGGGAAAAGGGAGAGTTTCCAAATTGAGCCATGCTGGCTCAGGAATTCTGGGAGTTGAAGTCCACCAGTCATAAAAGAGCCAAGGTTGCCTACCCCTGCCCTAGTTCATACATTCACCTGCTTACATAATATCTATCATCACCATTTCATTTGATATTTTGAGTTTATGCAAGAGGAACTACACGCGCGCACACACACACAATGTTCATCGTAGCTTCCTCCTAGTTTGCGATAAACCTTTATCTCCCTATGTTGTGTTGTATATATCTAAGAGATTCAATCAAATCTGAGCTTTGCAAGCAAGCGAAACTGAAGTTAGGGATCAAGATTTACCGCTCAGACCTGCTCTTGGATGTCTCACAGAGCATAAATTTTAAAAATCGGGTTAAGCCTGGTTAAAAAAAAAAAAAAAAACCCTATGCTGCAATAAGGTTGCAATTTTGGGAGTAGATTTGACAGCAGGTTCACTTAATGAGTTACATTACAACAGCACTGAAAAAGTGACTTACAGCTGGCCCTTAACAACCATCACGTCATCCCCATGGTCAAATGATCTAAATTTGGGCACTTTGCCAACTGGCCTGAATTTACAACTGTTACAGGATCACGGCTGGCCTTTGTGACCTTCACAGGGGCAGTTTCTGACAAGCAAAATCCTTGGGATTCACTTAAGGACTGTGATTCACATAATGACTTGGAAAATGGTTGTAAAATCAGGCAGGACTCGCTTAATGACGACATAGCTTAGCGATGGGTGTTCCAGTCCAACTGTCATAAATCGAGGACTACCTCTAAGTGGGAGCAGTGAACCCCCAAATTTTGTTGGACTTCGCCTACCATACCATCCTCCCCATCCAGTAGCTACACAGGCAGGGCCTTGTTTGAGTTGAGGTGCCCCCAACATCTAGAGAGCTACATGTTCTTCACCCTGTCTTAGATCCACCTTCGTGATACAGGCAGTCCTCAACTTAGGACCACAGTTGAGCCCCAAATTTCTGTTGTTAAGCGGGACATTTGTTAAGTGAGTTTTGCCCCATTTTACGACCTTTCTTGCCACAGTGGTTAAGTGAATCATTGCATATGTTAAGTTAGTAACACAGTTGTTAAGTGGTTTCCCCGTTGACTTTGCTTGTCAGAAGGTAGCAAAAAGGGATCACGTGACCCCGGGACACTGCGGCCGTCATAAATGTGAATTAGTTGTTGATGATCCGAATGTAAATCACGTGACCGTGGGGATGCTGCAATGGTCCTAAGTGTGAAAAATGGGTCATAAGTCACTTTTCTCAGTGCTGTTGTAACTTTGAACGGCCAGTAAGTGAACTGTCCTAAGTTGAGGACTAGCTGTATTGTTGGGGTTTTTTTTTAGAGTTTTATTGGTTTATAATATATGATACAATCGAAATACAAAGTAAATAGCGGGAAAGATGGTGTTGAAGGAAAAGTCTTCATCATGGTTCAGTCCAAGCCGGGAATAAACAACATGGCGACTGCTTTAGAAAGAAGGTTGCAGTTTATTGAAGAGGAGAGCCAGACAGGAAGATGACTCTGGAAGAAAAAAGAGAGAGCACATGTAGGGAGTGGGTTTTTATACCCTCTGGGGCTTTTGTTTGGAGTTGTTCCTGTGGCATGAACTTTGACCTGAGTCTGAGTGTGCCCTTTGATATCTGTGGGTTAATTCTGTTATGTCCTGTCTTATATTTTGGGTGGGGTATGTAGATTCTAGGTGTCTTTGTCTTCTTAATCTTCTAGCTGGGGGCCTCCAACCTTCCTGGATTATTTACATCTGTATTTCTACAGGGAGGGAGATTTGGTGCTATTAAGGAAAACTGGGCATGTTTTTCTGCCTCTTTTAGATCCTTTGAGGAAATATATTTTTCTGCTCTTTTAAAATTTCCTTCTCTGGGGGGCTGACTTCCCACAATGAGGAAGGGAAGAGGAGGTAGAGAAGTGAAGTGAGGGAGAAAAAAAAGGCATTGACTTCCTACTTCCTTTGGTGCAATAAGAGGATCAACTTCAAACCTCAACTTCTACAAAATAACATAAACCAGCCATTTCAATAACATCAAGTCTATCTAATTGGTAAAGCCCACAGTCAAAATTTCATTTTTTTTCCCACCTCAAGCACAAAACAATGTATTGTTGATCCATTAAGCTCCATGACTAGAGGGTTCCAGAATTCCCCAGCCAGCTTTTTCTCTTCATGAAGCTTCAGATCGTTCATTGACCCTCAAACATTTATCAGATAAAAAAGCTATTTCATAAATGCTACTTTTAACGGTACCATCCCTTTGAGAGTAATTGATCCGTGCAATAGCTTGCCTCCAGAAGTTGTGGGCACTCCAAATGCTGGAGGTTTTTAAGAAGAGACTGGACAAGCATTTGACTAGGATGGCATAAGGCTCCTCCTGTCTTGAGCAGGGGGTTGGACTAGAAGACCTCCCAAGGTCCCTTCCAGCCCTATGCTTTTAGGACTACCTTTCTAACAAGAAAGAATCTAGATCAATGGTTCTCAACCTGTGGGTCGGGACTCCATTTGGGGTCGAACGACCATTTCACGGGGGTCGCCAAACAACGCAGTCCGCCATTTTTTTCCCCCTTTTCCTTAGCTGTGCTACTCCCTTTTATTCTATTGGCTTTTGAAAGCCAATAGAATAAATTAGACTCTAGAATAAATTAGCCAATAGGAATTGTCCAGGCTGTCTCTGCCCTGCTGAGCCCGCCAAAAGTCCCATTCTGCAAACGGTGCTGCACCAGTTGAGTAGTCCTCGACTTACGACCGGTTGGGGGTCGCAGCATTAAAAAGGTTGAGAACCACTGATCTAGATGCCTTCAGAAAATAGGGGGTTAGCAAGCCATTCATGCACAGTCTCTGTTGAGGTGG